TTTAAGTGTAGACATAAAAAATAGTAATAGAATTGATGAGTTTAAACATAAATATAAAGGTATGTGTCAATCAAGATATATGCAAGAACAGGCTTAATGATTAATTAGATGGAACATTGTGGGTGTGGTGTACACTTTGTAATAATTCTTTAGTATATTACTTGTGTGGTGTAGAAGATAATTATTTAAGAATGTAATTATGTAAGAATGTTAACACTGTTATAAATTTTTAGTATAATACTTGTGTGGTGTAGAAGAGAATCATTTACTGCTTGCAAACCAATGGTAAGATGATGTCATGGGGTAGGACTGGATAAGTCTGACTTCTTCCTACTCCATTCAAGCATGTACTAGGTATAAGCAAATTGATATTGGATTATGTGTAAAATTATGTGTGTTGTCATATCGACTGTCTCTACATGCTTGAAAGAATAAATCAAATCAAATCAAAAGTCGATTATCTGAAGAAGGAAAGCTTCACCTGTTTTGAGCTGTGGATGGTTTTACACTGAAGAGATATAGACCAGCTCAGACCAAGCAGCTCACATTGCTGCATTTAATTCAGGTTCATGAAACAGTGGCAGCTGCCAGAGGAGTGTAATGTGTCAGTAACATTATTACTTCCTGTACCGATACAGATTGTTTACACTCATCTCTAATGTGGGTTTTTTGCGTTAATGCAACACATCTGACATATCTAGTGTCTGGCATATTTGAAGACGGAGGATTTTCATACACGCTGTTACAAATAAAAACTAGAATGAGGGACCAGGGCTCTAAACGTTGCATCATATGTGATTTCACATTAGTTAAAGTGACTAAAACATAATCTGTCTTTTTACAGGTGCAGTGTGGACCCTTGGTGGACATGACTGATAAACTCTATAGCTAATTTACCTTTCGACCAGATTAGGTTTTTGTTTTTTCTTTTTCTTTGGTGCCGGTTGTTGACAGCTGACATGCCAAAGTAAAGTTACATCCTTGTGTAATGTGTAAATGTAGCTAATCCATTGGCAAATGTTCCCACACCGCTCGGTCCCGCGGACCCAGCTCGGTGCTCATTGTATTCCCTGTCTTGCCACCCGCCTGTCCTTCGCCGTGACTCGGCGTTAATCTACCACGACATCTAACAGGAGCTGGCTACGTAGGCTGCCTATTAAAAGCTTTCAAAACAGTAGAAAACTCCCCATGTAAAGATAAGTTCATTTCCCCGCTAGCCACTGCGAGGACATGACTTATTCTTCTTCGCGTGCTATAGCGGTTGGCAAACAACAACATGGTGCGTTACCGCCGCGGGCACGACTTTCTGTTTTTCACAATAAAAGTCGCAAACGAATTGGCAATAGCGGAACCAAAGCACGAGATGGCAGTGGAGGTTTCTCTAAACAAGAAGTTGTTTTAGGCGTTAAAATCTTCTTTAAATTGTCCAACTGAGCTTGTGTGGGGCTCGTTTAGGGTGCAAGGGTAGAAAGATTTGTGTGTATGTCTGTGCGTGGTTTGTAAACAACGTAGGAAAACACGAGTCAACGCGAGCAACAAATAATTTCTATGGAAGCATAATATTAACTTAGATACACCAGTGTTAAGGATACAGACTAGCACTACCCCTGGTACACTGTGTACAGAATATTTAGAAATAAAAGGACAAAAATAAAATCAAAATAACACCATGTTGCACAGAGAGATTTATATTATTGTTATTATATTCTTCTTCTTATTATAGTCTCATAAGGCCTACTTAATGTATTATTTGATGCTGCACCTATATATTGTAGAAACATACTGTAACTGAGCTGGGGTTAAGATAGAAACATACTGTAACTGAGCTGGGGTGAAGAAGGAGCAGGACACCAAAACTGCCTTTTTCTGTGCTTAAGCAAGTCGCTCTTTTATTACCACACAGCAGGGGAACACACAGCAACAACACAGAACACACTCAATCCCCACCAAACCCACAACTATATAAGCCCGCCCAGAGGGGCATTATGGGGGATCCTGCCAGGTGTCTCTCCACCCCCAATGCTACAGAGCCCTCACCTGGCTGGTTAACTGTGCTCAGTAACCACAGTCATAGAAAAGTATCTTAAGCATTTGGGCAGCCTGCACTGGTAGCTCCCGGGCGGCTACTGGAGATGGGTGTGGAGCTTGTGTCTGACGCTCCCCCCTCAGGTAAAGCCAAGGGCTGGTATGGTGCAAGTCTATCCTTGTGAAGCACCACCTGGTTCTGCTTACTCACCCAGTCTCACCCTGTACACTGCTGTACATCCGACAGTCTTTTCAGTACAGCACAGAGTCAGCTCCACTGACTCTCTGACTGTGGGAACAAACCCTTTTTCAAACCAGGGTGTTACACCCACACCAGTGCACCAGGGACAAAGTTCTCTCCTAGGCTACATGCATCTTGGCCCCGCATCAGGCAAGGCCCCATGTCCATCGGTGTCCCCAACTGGTCCTGCTATTGGGGAACATGCAAGCACTGGGTCAGCCCTGTCCAGGTTGCACAGGAACCCCCCCAACCGCTGCTGGCCGGGGAACTGGCCTGCGGGGCTACTGCCGGTTGTGTGGCGGTAGCTCGGTCCTCGGCATGCAGATCGTTCTGGCACTTCTTCCTTCCGTAGCTCCTCTCATATGAGCCCTTGCCAGTTACCTGGTCTTAGTGCATACTGCCTGGGAAGACAGTGTATGTATGGATGGGTTTCTGGCTGGCCATGGTGGTGTAGATGACCCTCCAGCCGGCTGCTACAGTGTCTGGTTGGCTGCAGCCCTTCCCTACCGCCAGTGTGGAGAGCCATGTCATCAGTACTGGAGCACCCCAGGCATTTCTACCATGGCCACCCAACTTTGTCAGAAGGTCAAGGTCAAGGCCAACGATGCATGAATCTTGAATGTTGGCCAGTCCGACCTGGCGCTCAACAGTGAAGCTAGCAAGAGTCACTTTGACCATGTCAATAGTCGTGTTGTTATGCTGTTAGTTGGAGTAATAACAGCATTATTAGAACTGAAGAGAAGAAACATCGGAGGAAGTTCATGTTAAAATTAAGTTTCAGAACAAAAACGAGCGAGCTACATGGGGGCTGAAGGCGTGACGAGTGCGTTTAGAGAGAGGAGGAGGAAGAGGAGGAGCTGCAGATGGAGGAAGAGGAGGCGTCCTGTCCGTCTGTGTCCAGAGGAGAGGAGCGGTCGCCATGTTATCCAAGAAGCCCGGAGCCTCGGTTCTTCCGACGGGTGAGCACAGCCTCTGTAGCCGGCCAAAGGGCGCCTGAGCCCAACCAGCGTGGCATTCTCCGCCTCTGATAACCAACATTGAGTCCCGTGTAAATTAATGAGTTAGCTGTGCTAGCTAGCTAACTCACTAGGAGGAATAGAAACTGTCTCTTTCTCCGCTCATTAAATTAACAGCAATATCATAAAAAGGAAACAGAGGAGAAGCTATGGTATAATTTTAGAAACTAAACAGATAAAATAAATACAATAAAAGCGGCTTCAGACGTCTTCTCCTATCTGTCAGGTTTATTTTTAGCTAGCTAGCAGACGAGAAGTGACAGCAGCAGCAGAGACAGGTCTCCCGGTGTGTTTATTTCTGAGCCAACTGTTTATTAAGCCTGTATGACAGTGCTACATGTGTGGTAAGCTGTCTCCGAGCTGTTTCTCAGCATGTTTTAGGTTTGTGCATGTGATGTTACCCACATATTGTGTTTGGTGGTGTTTGTGTATTTTCGGTTGCTGGGTAATTGTTGGCCTCCAGCTCGGCAGACAGAAAGCTTCGGTTCAGTTCAGCCAGAGGTCAGTTGCTTTTGTCTTTGGTGTTTTAAGTGCAGTTTTATGTCTGTCAGTACTAAACTATATGCTAGACTCATAACACTTGAGTAGCTTGACGATGCTAACGCTGTCATGGACTGTTACAGCTGTTATTTCACGTTTACATGTAAAAGTGGCTGCTGTAGCTTTGTGCTAGCTTGAACTGCTAATGTCTGTTTAAACCAGATTACATTTAAACATTAGATTACATTCCTTTCGTTCTCCAGAGGCTCCTAGCATGGTGACAAGTGTTTGTAACTATAATAATTTAGCTTAATTTAAATGTAACTATTGGTGCTGTCAGTCCTTATATCGAATTAATCACAATCAGTCCGCTTTTCTGTGTGAAATAGCGCTTATTTCTTTATATGGAGAAGCAACAACGGTGTTTGTTTCCACTATAACACTTTGTACAAAGCAGTTTTCTTTAAAAATAAAGAAAAGCATACACATATATTATTGACACACTTTATAACTGTCCAATGTGGAGGTAGAATAGCACAGCATGGCGGATCATATTTGGACAACAGCGTGTAATAACAGAAAATATTGTAGACTGCTATGTTAAACTAGCAGTCTATTAAATATTGTTGTAACTGTACTACTTAGCTTACAAGCTAAACTTCTCCTACAAACTCATGCTAATGTGTATGTAGTTTGGACGATGTAAACACAATAACAAAGGTTGTCAAGTAGCATGTGACCAGGCGGATATTAGTAGCCTACACCTGAACATAAAGCTACTGCAGTGTGGAAGCTGTTGATCATAATGTAAACACTGGCTCCTTCAGTAGCCATGTGGTTACTAGCCCAGTGTTTGCACATCATGGTTCATGTACAGAGACGCATGTAGTTACATTAATGTAAACACAGGCAACTAGGCTGCGGTGTAATGTTAACATTAATCTACATTAGCATAAGGACTTAACCAGATTTTCAGGGAGCCCTATAGCCCACACAGTTTGTAGTGCCAGTAACGCAGTTTATACAATGACTGCTAGGCCAGCAGCAGAAGTACTCAGATCCTTTACTTAAGTAAAAGTAGCAATAACACACTGTAAACATACTCCACTACAATACAAGTCATGACCACACAACCAAAATATTAATTAAATGATTAATAAAATCGCCAAATGTAAAGGTTTTCACTGAACATGAAAGGAATAACAAACTGTAATCTGCAAAGTAATTAGTAACTAAAGGTGTTAGGTAAATGTAGTGGAGAAAAAAGTACAAAGTAGCAGACAAAGGAAATACTCAAGTAAAGTACAAGTACCTTAAATGTGTACTTAGGTGCAGTACTTGGATAACTGTACTTAGTTACTTTCCACTACTGTGCTATACAACAGCAATGACTGCTGAAGTGTCCTTTATCCTTTTTTGCTTCATTAGAGCTGAATGTTGTGTCACTTTTACAGATGGATTATTTTATTCTCTGTTTGTTGTAACTTTGTACTAGCGGTAGTAGGACAACAGGCCTCTACTTACCACGTGTTTGTACCACAGTGGTGGTTTTAGAACCACCTCATTAATGGTCTGAATTCATGGTCAGTGTTTTTTCCTGCAGGCTGTGTGGTGGCCATCCATGCTGCTCCAGGCTCTCTCTTCAATTCTGTTTCAGTCCATGTCCTATTTCTGTACTGTACACCAACACTGTGAGGCATCTACCTCATGCACCATAGCAAATCTAACCCAAGCTGAGATAACACATAAATATCATGATAATCAAATTAATTTGAACCAAAGCTGTGATGATTAGTTGGTGGACTGATGAATCAACTGTCTGAAAATTGATAACTTTTTTAAAATAACTGACTAATGAGTTAAAATTATTTTTAACCAAAAATGTCCAGAATTCTGGTTCCAACTTCTCCACTGTCTCAGATTTAATGTTTTTCTGTAGGTTTTGGACAAAACCAGAGATATGAGGAGATCGGCCTGGATAATTTTAACTATGTCCTTGTGTGTTATAGAAAAAACGACTGATTGAGAGAGCACATTTTTTGCCATCCAGGGTGCAGAACCCAAAAGACATCCTCTCACTGTTTTGGAGTTGTGATTATCCGATCAGCATGGCTTTTCTCATTAGCATCCTCTTGAATGTCCTTTGATTAGCTTCGTTTACAGTGAGGTCAGTGGGGCAGCAAAAGGTCAAGCTGAATTTTAAGAAAAGAACGAGGGAAAAGGGACATTGAGTGCTGTGTCTTCTAGAAAAAGGATGTAACTTTATAACTTCAGGACTGCAGCTAAGGATTATTTTCTTCATTGACTAACGATTATTTTTGGAGTTTTCTGATGAATCACTCGGTCTGTAAAGCATCAAAGAACTGAGAGTCTGAGTCATCACGTTCTGAGAGAACTTACAGCAATGTTAGACAGAAAAGATCAACAACTTCTCACATGTGAGGACTGTGATCTGGCAGATGTTGAGCCTGGAAAAACATTTAAATGATCATCACAATAGTAACTTAAAAAAGCAGCAGTTCTTCCCTTTTGACAGGCTGTAGCAGTCATTTGATTATCAGAATAGTAGCTGATTGATTCATCAACTAATCACTGCAGCACTGTGTGCAAATGATAAAACAAACTAAGACTCCTTAAACTTGAAAGAGTTTGAATTTGATTTGATAAAATGCTACTGAAACCCAAGTATATGCATCTCACACACTACTACTGTGTTCATTATTGATGAAGCTGCTGATTATTGTTCCAGATTAATAGATAATTTTGTCTACGAAATGACACAGAATAGTGAAAAATTGTACTGTAATTTCTCACATCTTAGAAAATGCCTTGTCTTGTTCTGTCTGACCAGCAGTCCCAAACCCACAGACACTCAGTTTACTGTCAATTATTATGAAGCAAAACAAAATCCTTACATTTGAAAAGCTGATACCAGCAAAGATTCAGCATTTTTTTCAAAGGAAATGACTAAAACAAGTCAATTATCAAAACAGTTGCGGATTAAGTTCCTGTCGATCACCTAATCAATTACTCGACTGCTGCAGCTCTACACACACTCCAGCAGGTTTTGTTCCAGCTGTGAGCAGCTGTTACATGTTGCAGTGTGAGACAACAATGTCCATAAAAACTTTGGATCAAATGCTTTTCCAGACGATTCAGATCAGACTATTGCTGCTGATTCACCCACAGTGACACAGCACCTGTAATTTCCAGGTCACTTTCTGGGCTTTGACACCAGTTTTGACTCCGTGTCCCACCTGTGGCAGTCCTGGCTCTCAGACTGCTACACATTTCCCCACTTGTCGTATCAAGCAGCATGCCGGGCGTGCTCGCCAGCATTCTGGCATTTCCAGCTCGGTGTCGAGTTCACATACAGCGCATACTGCTGTTCCCGTGCATCTGTCAGGCTGGCAGCAAGGAATCAGTTATGTGCTGTCCAGTTTAGATCCCTGTTACATTATCAGTATGAACTGTAGAGGCACAAGATCACCACACACTATGAAGCCGAGGACGGGCTGCAGGAGCCCTGAACTATACTGGACTTCTGAGACTGATGTTATTAATGTTTTACTGTAATAACATCAGAATAATGTTATACTTGCTGAAACAGGTTTTTTACACAACATAATCAAACTGTTCTCTAAGGTCCCGTCATGTTTGTTGATTTTAAATATCAGTATATTGTCGCTATCATCCAAAAATGTCTGTAGTGGAAGTACAACTCATTTTTCAGTCTGAAGTCTGTGACACTCAGTGTTGAAAGGGCCCACTACACTTTAGCTTGTATGCAGTATAGATCCAACTAGAACAAGTTGAGATTTTTTTTTTTTGCAGTTTGGTTGCATCTAACAATAGTCAATTAACTGGACAGTTATTTTTCTGGTGAACCGATTAAAAATTTAGCGTACAACACATCTGAAAACAGTTCGATTTTAATGTGATATCTTCAGATTTTGTTTTGTCAGACCTCCAGTCCAAAATACAAGAATATTCAACTTACAGTCCTCACGTCTGAGAAGCTGGAGACAGGAAGCAGTTGCTACTTTTTGATTGATTTATGTGATTAATCAATTTTCAGAAACATCAGCAGGTTTTCTGCCAATAAACTTGTCTGATCATTTTGGCAATAAATTGCAGCAAAGGAAGGAAACTCAACAGAGTCATAGACTTTAATCAAGATTTACAATAAATACCTGTGTATTGATAAAGCTATCAGAATATATTGTGGTATTGATTGCTGTCTCAGTAGCACGACTCCAGTGGCTAATGCAGCCCGTGTGTGTCTGCAGTTTGTATGAAGGGTGATCATGCTGTACTGATTGTGTGTACTTTGTCATGTAGCTGTTGTACAGCAGGTTGGCAGTGTGAGTCACTCTGATTAGCAGGATTACAGTGAACGATCAGATTAGAAGCAGAGAGCAGCAGCAGAGGCCATCTGTCTGCTTTAACCTGCAGGCCGCCGGATGGTGCCCTGTGAGCATCTGTATCTCAGACATGATTAGGGCACATCTCTGTAGCCGTTCATTCATTCCACTGCTTTGATATCTGCTTATTTTGTCAGCTGTCTGTCGCATCATGTCCTGATCAGAACTGCATCTAATGACCAATTAGTTGTTCCAGTTGTTCCAATTCCAATTAGTACAGGCAATTTAGAGTCATCAGTCAACCTAAGCCGCATGTCTTTGGACAGTGGGAGGAAGCTGGAGTACCCAGAGGGAACCCACGCAAGCGCGGGGAGAACGTGCAGACTCCGCACAGAAAGGTCGCGAACCCAGAACCTTCTCACTGTGAGGCAACGGTGCTACCCAATTCCAGTTTCTCATGTGATGCATCTCTTTGTTGTACATGACAGTAACTGAATATCTTTGAGTCCAGACTGCTGGAGATACAGAACAGACATCTGAAGGGCTGAATCTTTTAACATCGAGTATCTGAAGATCCCACGTCTGATCTGACACTTTATTTACTTAAATGTTGTTTAAATATGTTATCTGGTACAGCCTATAGATTTTTTCTCGCTAGCTACTTGATCCAAATACTGAAGGTCCTGATCAAAATCCAGTGTTTACATGACTGCTGATACCAATTAAAGTTTAACAGAATGTGGGTCAGGACATATCTAGCCTTTTTCATTGTTTTCAGACATTTTAAGAACAAATCAATTAATCAAGAAAATTGGCATATTAACTGATAAACCACACACAGTACATTACATTACGTAGGGAACGATTAATTGCATTTGAGATTAAATCGCCATCACGTAAAACACGATTTTCTAATCGCAATAGGTGCGATTATAGTCTGGTCACGTGACACGCGAGCGCAATCTGCAGATGGCGCAGCATCTTGTCACACGCTACGCTGTAGCATAACTTGTTACTTGACTTGCTGTAAAATGGCCTCGGGCTCGACACAACCGGACCCTGAACCAGAAACTTTAGTGCCAAAGAGGAGCAGCAGTTCCGCTGTGTGGGACTATTTTGGGTTTAAAAAGGAAGATGTCGCGCAGCGTCAGGTATTGTGCAAAACCTGCCTTGCTAGCGTTGCTACCTCACGTGGTAACACAACGAACTTGATTCAGCACTTGAAAAAACACCACAAAGCCATGCATGATAGTTGCATATCTAAAATGCAGCAGACCGGTTCAAGTAAGCCAATTACCACCAGGCAGCCATCGCTGACAGAAATGTTTGAAAGTGTAACTCCTTATGAACGCACTTCAAAACGCCACGTGGAAATTACTACAGCGGTAACAGAATTCAACGCGAAAGACTTGATGCCCATCACTTCGGTGACAAAGCCTGGGTTTGAGCTACACAAAAAATGTAAACAGAAAGTCACTGCGGAGCTGAAAGCAACAACCAACATGTGGTCAAGTCACTCAGCGGAGCCCTATCAAAGTCTTATGGTGCATTTCATTACTGAAGACCTCGACCTCAAAGCTCGCTGCCTTCAAACTGCTTACTTCCCAGAAGATCACACAAGGGAAAATATTGCAGCCGGCCTGAGAAAGGGGCTTGCTAGCTGGGATCTCCACGAAGAGAACCTTGTCTGCATTACGACGGACAATGCAACAAATATGGTGAAAGCAGCACAGCTCAATGAATGGACAAGGCTACAGTGTTTCGGGCATAGCATTGCCATTGCATCTTGCCATTGGTAAGTTTTCATCTCGTGTGTGTGACTGTATGGGCGAGAAAAAAGTGTGAGTGTGTGTTTGCGTGCGTTGCGTGAGAGTGACACTGCGTCCCAATTCGGCTATATGCCCTATGCCGAATGTACTGTTTTTGATATGAGAAAGTATGGAAATTTGAGTGTAACAGGTATGGGACATACTAAATCTACTTTCATACTATTTAGTACTGATAGTATGCAAATTGGGATGCAGACTGCATGTATGTAGGACTGGGCGAAATATTGCATGGGATTGTCATGCGCATCTCGTCAGTAAAGCCGGTTCCTTGATACATCGCCCATCCCTATTTGACTATTTTTTGAATAAGTGAGGTAATGTATGTAAAATGTATATGCACAATGTCTATGCATAATGTCTATGTAAAATGTATAATAGTGATAGCCTCACTTAAATTGTATTAATTTTATTTATTATTATTGATTATTACTGATTATTTAATTATTTTTCCAGAAAATGCAATGAAAGATGACAGAGTGTCAAGAGCTACAGGGCTGTGCAAGAAGCTGGTGGGGCATTTCTCCCACAGTTGGAAGAAGGCAGCAATGACTGAGCCACAGAGGGAGCTCAAACTTCCTGTGCGCACACTCATAACCAAGTGCCCAAGAAGATGGGGATCTAAGGAAAGGATGGTCGCTATATCCCACGTATTGTCAGGTGACAGATATGCACGCTCCCTCATTCCAACCTGGCACGATACTGAAGTGTTGGAGTCTATTCACAAGGCACTGCATCCTCTCGTGGAATTTACAGATGCTCTTTCTGGAGAGGAGTATGTGAGCATCTCTTACCTCAAACCAGTTCTCCACCATCTGGCCACATCAGCCCTGGCTGAAGATGCTGAGGACACTGACCTGACTAAGTCGATTAAAACCAAGGTCCTTTCATACCTCAATGACAAATATAGTGACCCCTGCACCCAGGAGCTTTTGGATGTTGCGTCATTCATGGATCCTAGGTTCAAAGCTCAGTGCATCAGCTCAGATAACACCCCTGCCATCAAGGCCCGACTGAAGACTGAAATGCTAGAATCAGCGAGACGTACATATAGCCGATAGTATATACCAGCTTTCGTCAAACTCATTTTGACAGTTCTAGGTGAAAGGTTAACCCCCCCCCTTCACCACCAAATGGTACATAGTAGTGATTTGTATATAAACTAGACAATGTTACATAGTGACTTATCCTAGGGTTTTTAAAAACCCACACACACAGAGAGAGAGAGTTGAGCTTTAAAAAAACTGAGAAGAGTGAATAAACCAGATGTGCCCCTTTGAGTTGTGTGAAAACAGCCAATATTTATGATGGGTTTCAGCAAAAAGGAGAGCTTAAGGTATTTATAGTGTTTACCAAAAAAACAACAGACCATGTGTTTGCCATCAGGCTGTGTTTTTTTTTTCCTGACAGAGGTGCAGAAAAAAACAGGGGTAAAATACTCAGACACAAGTCTGACACATAGTCAGTTCAGCTCTCCACACATCAAGATGAATCCAGGTACCCCAGCGTGTTGCAATTTATTTTTTATATTTTTATGAAAGCTTGTATGTTAACTGAGATCATTTTCATTCATATCAGACTCGTCTTATCACGTTAGCCCCGCAGAACCGCTCAGTAAGTATTCTGCTATGTTTTTTAACATTTCCTTGTGTGTACGGTATATATTTTGGAAAAACAAAATGTTTTTTACCCTCCTGGGTAGACAGCTATTTGAGAGCCTATGAAGAAGCTTTACGCCAGGAGCAATCTTTGGAGAACCCGAACCATGAGGTGTCCGGTGAGTTTAAAAAAAAAAAAAGAATGTTTAAAATATATATATACACCTGACGCGAGAGAAAATAAAATAAATACTAAGTTTTTCTACAAAACAGACCAGGGGGAGCAGCGACTATTAACAGAGGAGGATCCATTGGAAAGTAAGTTTTGGCTGCACTTGAGCTTCTTTGACTATATGTACTAAATAATAACGGTTCACACCTTTTACTCAGTCCCTGACAGCGTATTGATTCAATGCTCTCAAGACTCCAACCTGATCCTATACAATTCTACGGATAGAGCTGAACCACAACGAGGAGCTCTGGAACCGCTGCATCCCCAGCAAGTCCCCCCTCAGCCAAAGCGAGAAATTCCCCAGCAGCCTCGCAAACCACCATCTCCATCTTCTTCTTCATCCCATTCATACAGTAATGCCTCTATTTTCACACAACTTTTTTAAAAAATATGTGATGTATGCAGCAACACTCAGCTCGATCACAGGTAAAATTAACATTACACGCTCAGGTATCTTGCACCTCCAAACTGCTCACAGGCAGATGTAAGATGAAAGACCCTGCACCCACCAGGCCTATACATTATATCCCTTCGGTTGGGCTAGCCCCATACTACACAGAAACGTCAACCGAGACGTCTCTGTTACCAGCTTTGCAGCTGGTCATAGCAGTAGTCAAAACATGAAGCAAATCAATGTGTGTGTGTCTGTTGATTAAGTGGTGTGTAGCTAAAAACATTCTCACAGACTTCTAGTAACATGTCGTGACTTAAACATAAGAACATATTATGGCTAAGGCTACAGTTCTACACGTCATAATAATAATATTAAACACCCTGTCTGCTGACAGTCATCAACTTTTCTCTAGTTATCCTTGACCAGATGTACCCTGTAGAAACTCATAAGCATGACTAAGCATTTAACAGTCTAACTAGACATCCTATCTCCACTAAACATTTCTAATACATAAACTATCTATCCAATATCTATCTGACTAAAAATACCTAACAAACAGCTAATAAAATCGCATATTAAATCGCAATTGCAATGTTGGGGGGAAAAAATCGCAATTAGATTATTTGCTCAAATCGTTCGGCCCTACATTACACAGTGTTGGAGAAATACAAACCAAACAATTTGTCTTGGCCTTTTTTCCAGGCTTTTGAGACCAAGTTATCAAGCTTAAACATCAAAATTAACCTTTTTTTTTTTTTAAGCATTTTCCCTCTGCTTCTGGTTGCTGTGCAAAGCTAGGCTAAACATGTCCTGGACCTATCTGTGCACTGGACCCACAGAGAGGACAGTGACATCCATCTTGCAACCTGAAAGCAAGAGAAACTCATCCTCTCTCTCCCTCTTTGTGTCTTTCCAGGCAAAGTGGTCGAGCCAGTCTGCTCACCTGGTCACAACGGCTCTCAGACAACATCGCCCGTCGCCCTGCCGCCGCTTCGAAGCCACAACCTCAACCTCAACCCTCTGACGGTATACACACACACATATTTAATCTGTAGTCTGTTATAATCTATTTGCTCTGTTATTGCTGGGTTTAGAAACCTCCCAGTTGTGGGTGTCACTGTGATCTCAAAGTATTAAAAATATAATAAAACAGAACATTTACACATCTTTCCAGGTTTGACTGATTATCGCTGGGCTTCAGGTCTCAATACTTTTTCTATATTGCACCAACAGACTATTGTTTATGCTGCGGGAAATTGAAAAACATCCAGTCAAATAGTTCCCGATCCAAGTTATATTTTCAAACTCCTTTATTTAACACTGATGCATTGAGGAGTTTGGCATATTTTGTTAGTTGGGGAGGAAGGGTTAAAATGCGTTGTGTACAGGACACTGTTTATTTGTCAGGGAAAAGCAACAACACATCTCAAAATGACCAAACTTAGCCAAACACAGTTAACCATATGCTTTTTTTTCTATTTTCTTTTCTTTTAATAAAACCCTGAGACAGTCTGACAAGCTTGCAGCTCGGTTCAGGTGCACTGTCTTAGAATTTAAATTCTACCTAACATACAGAATTATATTTATTTGTCTTTGCACTTCAGTATACAAGTTTAATTTGTTGAGCCTAAAGAAAACATTTAGTTTAGTCAGAATAAAAAATAATTCCTGTTAGACTTTTATCAAACAACCTTTTCTTTACAAACCTATAGTGTTTGGAGAACATGTGAACAACCCAGGCTGATGCATATGCCAGTGTGTCCTGGATCAGCTGCTTTTATTTTGGAAGTTATCAGCAGGTAAATGACTGATGTGATTCATCAGAGGAAGTCGAATATGAGCTGATAAACCTCAGGAAATCTGTCTGTCTGGTCAGTATTGTGCAGCTGCCAAAACAGTCCTGTACGGCAACAAGGAACACTTTTGTGTCTAACACTTGTTGTTAGAACTGACCTACTTTAATTGATGCACCCATCAATGGAGACATTGCATGGTTTGTTTCAGCCTGTTCACGTTGACCTGTCTGCTCATGATGCGGTTCAGAAATTTAAAAACACAATAATTTGTCATTGTGTTAGGCTCAGGCTGGTTTTAGGAGGCTGTAGATTGGCCAATGTGCTGCAGTTATTGTGTTAGCCTGTGTTTGAAGCAATTATCCTGGGTAGCAGATCTGTGGAGCAGTCAGCTGTAGCCTCACAGCTAATAATAGCCTTCTGCTCCAGGATGCTTTAAACAGATGACTGGTTTATAGGCTGGTGTGAAGGGGAGACGCACACACACACACACACACACACACACACACACACACGCACACACACACACAGGACTAATGGTATAAATGAACTGATGCTGCATTTGTTTGCTCCATTAAATTAAGACTGATTTTTCTTTTTATTGTATCACTTCAATTATTAGCATTAGCAAGGTTTATAATACTGACTTCCAGGAAAATAGATCAGATTCTGTCACTGTAACGTGCTGCATTGATTATTTACTGCAAAGCAAACATCAGACGTGACCAGTCAGTCTCCTAAGATGGCTCAGACAGGTCTTGGCACATCAGACTTTACACACTTTGGATACTACGTAACCCGTCAGATATGCGACCGCTGCTTGTTTCTTAAGAATGAACCCGTTCACATGACTGGTTCTTCTTGCACAAGGCCCATTGTTTGTTTGTGTGTCAAGGTGTTGTCAGGTGAGGGAGGAGTCAACAGAGCCAAACACCTTGCTCTCATATGTCACTGCAACTACTGCCAAAACACACACAAACCTGACTGCTGTGTGCACGTGACTTGCTCTTCCTTAAGTTTTATACCACAGCCCCATCACAAGAGCGCAATGACACCATCCATACACACACACACACATTATTACTATTATGTTCTTATGTTAAACAGCAGGTCTTTGAACTGAGCTGCACTGCTGCTTGTGTGTGAGACAGTGAACTGAAACCACACGCACCTGTTATCTGAAAGGACCCAGGTGTGCTTGTCACCACGGCAACAGGGAGTGACTCACTGAGCAACAGACAAAGGAGAGAGCTGTCAACAGGTTTTTACAGTGTATGAATTTTTTTTGTTTTTTTGAGGGAACCAGTTTGAATTCATGTGCATTAATTATCCACATCTGTACCTGATATACAGTGGAGAGCAGAGGCATGTTACATTTCACAGTACTCACAAACGGCCTGTGTTGAGCTGCTACTCATCACGTTATTTGTGTTTATGCGTGGCACATTCCCTTTAGTTTAATGATTCATGTAAAATTTAAGCAGCGACACCCCCATTCTGCAGGACTGCTGAATACACATAGGAGAAACACTAATGGATCTCTGCCTCACACCTCTTCTTCCCTTGGGGGGAGTTAGAAAAGCTCTATTACAGACAATGCTTAACTGAAATGTAATCAACAGACATAAATGGCTGAAAGTAGCCCTACCCCTCCACTGTCCTGTCTAATCTGGTGTCTCTGTGTGTTTCCCTTCAGGGAGGCTCTAAAGCTGCCATGTCGGACGCCGTTCAGCTATCATCACAGTCACAGGTCCACATCACCCAGCTGTACGAGGAGAACACCAACAAACGTCCGGTACTGACCTCCCAGCCGAACGGTCTGGCCCTGCTCAGCTCCACCCGGCCAGGCCTGCCACTGCCAGACCAGCAAACCTCAACCTCAGAACCCACCCAACAATGCCGCCAGGGCAGCGCCACCTCCCACAAGTCAACAGACAGCAAGCCAAAGATCACCCCCATGTCCCCAGAGCAGGCCATGAAGCAATTCATGTCCAAAATGTCTTCGTTCGAACATCACGAAGTGTTCAACTACCCTGAAGGTGAGTGGGCTTAACAAGTCCTTCTAAAAGTGCACATTTTGACTGGCTAACCAGTGATTGCTGGTTTTTGAGATAAAGTCTATTAGATGACACAAATAAAAGCAAGCCAAAATAAATGTCCTGATCTTTAACTCATGATCAACAGCAATGAGATTGATGAGAACTGATCACATGCCTCACTTTCACACATTTTTCAGTTTATTTTGTCGGCCCCATTGCTAAGAAGAGGTCAGGGGTCATGGGTGGAGCCAACAACGGTGGCTACGACGATGATCAGGGATCCTACATCCATGTCCCACATGACCACATTGCCTACCGCTACGAAGTCCTGAAGGTCATTGGCAAGGGCAGCTTCGGACAGGTGTGACTAGTCATGTTTTTAGTCTTGTTTTTCAACAGCTGCAGCAACTGGTGTGAGTTGGTTTTAGTGTAAATATTGCTATTGATAATACAAATATAAATAGATAGGCTAGATAATCCCTATATTTGAGATGCTGGAAAAAAAGCATTATTAAATAATCATCAAAACTGTAGATGTTTGGAAACGGATTAATCAACTGAACAGCTGTTTTGCCAATGAAGCTAACGCCATCTACCGGCACATTATAAACTGAAATTATTTAAACAAGCTGGGAGAAAAACCATATAATGTTAGTCTAGATACACTCTTTTTTATATTGATTCCAGGTTACAAGCTGTTTACTATTAATTGTTGTCTTACACTATCAGCAGATTGTTGTGAGTACCATCTGATCTAATAGATGTAAAATTGTACATTGTGTCCTACTACAGGTGGTGAAGGCCTTTGACCACAAGTCTCAGTCGCACATGGCTCTGAAGATGGTCCGCAATGAGAAGCGCTTCCACCGGCAGGCAGCGGAGGAGATCCGCATCCTGGAACACCTGAAGAAGCAGGACAAGGACTTGAGCATGAATGTCATTCATATGCTGGAGCACTTCACCTTTCGAAACCACATCTGCATGACCTTCGAGCTGCTCAGCATGAACCTGTATGAGCTCATCAAGAAGAACAAGTTCCAGGGCTTCAGCCTCCCGCTGGTCAGGAAGTTTGCCCACTCCATCCTGCAGTGTCTGGACTCACTGCATAAGAACCGCATCATCCACTGCGACCTCAAGCCTGAAAATATTTTACTCAAGCAGCAAGGACGCAGTGGCATCAAGGTAAGACAGCAAAGACATATATATTTGTCAAGGACCACTAAAGTTCTGTTAATCCATCTATACAACTGTGTCTTTCTATCACTGTGCCTTCAGGTCATAGACTTTGGTTCTAGCTGTTATGAGCATCAGAGAGTTTACACCTACATCCAGTCCAGGTTCTACCGAGCGCCAGAAGTCATTCTAGGTAAGAAGAACAAGCATGGTGAGAACTGAAAGCAGCTGTTTGTTGTCACTGAGGAGCCATAAGCTAATGAGTTTTTAGTTTTGTCAAAGTTACATTACTAGCACGTAGTTATTTCAGCTGAGAGTATGTACAGCTGAAACCTCTCTCCGTTGGTGTGTTCAACACCAACAGGACGATCTGGTTAGCACAGATATAAGAGTCTACTGCAAACAGCAACTTTTATGACATGTGACGATCCCACAGTTCCACCCACGGGACACCAGAACTGGGTACAACTTTTACATTTATTTATTTACCTTGGGGTACATAACAAAAGTACAAAGCTCTGCAGCTTTCCAGGTATACCACAGTCAGAAAGGGAAACCATAGCAAGTCATTGGCTCAAAGGAATACCGACCAGTTTTCTTGCAACATTTCACAGTAGGAAACTTTCAAATCATGGATATCCGAGGGTCCATAAACACAGTCACAGTAACCCAGAGAGGAAACAAAATGTGACTAAATGTTGACAGCAATGGATTATCTGCAGAATGTTCTTAGTGTCTGCAAGTTTGCATAGAAATATATTGAAACCAGTGGCTATTTGGAAGGAACAAACTCACTACATCAGTCATAAAGAGATCTGGAAAGTGATCAACAGAAGTGGAGCGTATTCATTAGCACATCCTGTTGACAAGACTATCTCTGCCCTCTCCTCCAGGCTCCAGGTATGGCATGCCTATCGACATGTGGTCTCTGGGCTGCATCCTGGCTGAGCTGCTGACCGGTTACCCCCTGTTGCCGGGTGAGGACGAAGCTGACCAACTGGCCTGCATCATCGAACTGCTGGGCATGCCCAGCCAGAAGCTCCTTGATGCCTCCAAGAGAGCCAAGAACTTTGTGTCATCCAAAGGCTACCCGCGGTACTGCACTGTCACCACGCTGCCCGACGGCACCACTGTGCTGAACGGTGGGCGATCTCGACGGGGGAAGGTACGTGGCCCCCCAGGCAGCAAGGAATGGAGCGCAGCACTTAAAGGCTGTGATGACGCGCTGTTTCTGGATTTTCTCAAACAGTGTCTAGAGTGGGACCCAGCGCTCAGGATGACTCCCAGCCAGGCACTGCGCCACTTATGGCTGAGGAGGCGACTTCCCAAACCCCCATCAGGAACCACCACGGGGGAGAAGACCTTGTCCAAACGAGGCACCGCCACCGATGGCACCATCACCTCCATATCCAAGCTTGCCACCACCACCTCCACCACCACATCCTCCTCTTCCAAAACCAGGACTAACTTAGCAGCAATCACCGATGCCAACGGAAACATCCAGCCTAGGACGGTTCTGCCCAAACTGGTCAGCTGAGAGTGATTGCACCCCGCTCGCTGTGGTGGGGGATGAAAGCTGTGCTCAGATGAGCTGCCAGCTGGACCTGAATAAAACTGGTCTGTCCAGTTTTGAAGAGCATTTGGTTTTTTTCCACACTGGTTTTCACAGTGTTGTTGGGGTGCATTCAGGACAAACAGTCATGAAAACTTAGCATTTGGTGTGTTAAATGTGCAGATTGGCTGGGCTGAGATGTAAGCTGAGCCGAAGGAAACTTGACTGATACATTGGGGTGCATTCAGACTCCTCAGATTCCCAGTCCTGTCTGAAAAATACAGTAGCTGTTTTATATTGTGAGCAGCAAGACAGAATGTGACACACAGATTTTAAATAATTTTGGTGCTGCTCAGACAATCATAAGACAACACTTTGTAGCTCCAAACACATCACACATCAAAAAAACATGGTGCTGATGGAGGGAACAAAGCATTTTATATGTTTTTAGCACAGAATCTATTTGAATAACCATAGAATCGATAAATCAATTAGACACCAAAAACCGCTTTTTAAGACATTAGTTGTACTAGGTTATATCTACAGACATTTGCAGGGCCTCACATTTATGTGATTAACTGACAAAAAATCAGATATAGCTGTATAATACTGAGGTAACAGTTTCAAAAATGTAATGTTCAGCTTGCTAGTTTTTGTTTCATCACACTATGAAATAACTAATTTGTGTTATGTTTCCGTTTGGGGAACATTTGTATTTGTAAGCATTTGTTAATTATGTTTGACTAAAAAATTTTATCAGAAAACAATTCCAGCAACCCCATCCAAACAATTTACCTGATGGCTACCTTTCTTAGCTACCTGTTCTTACAGCGTGTTACTGTGCTAGCATTATGCCTGAAAGCTAGCTAACTGTTAACTGGCACTGGTTAGTTGCTGGACAGCTATGTCTTTGTGTGTAGCTGTCGCATTGCTACCTATTTACACCTTTAACTGGCCGGGCAGTTAGCCTAGCAAATTTTAAAACAGTCAGCAAGCTATAGCTGGCTCTGCCTTTTTTGGCAGTCAGGTGGCTAGCCTTAGCCTTTTTTAGCCATAGCCTGTTAGGTCTCCACTGCCCAGCCTTATGAAGCACAGACAGAATGACAAAACGTTTTTAACTCCTCAGATTTAGTTTTAAGTTTTGCAGACACAGTAAACAAGTAGAATAGATTAACTAGCACCACTTTGTTCTCTTTTAATCAATCAAATCTTATTATTAAAGGTAGGGTTGGCGATTCTTTCAGATGGCAGTGAAGACATTAAATGCACTGACAACATAAACAAATAAATCTGTGGCAGCAGCAGGGCTGCAAAAAAGGCTAACCAATGATTTTGCTGGGTCTGAGCAAAACCACCGCATGGCCTACCTGCCTGTCAACTAACTCCCTAGCTGTACGCACCCTGTCCTTGCACTCATTGCGTGAGCCAAGAGCCTCCAACAAGGCCTGGCAGGCAGACATGTTACTGCTCTGTTTTGATAGCTATTGGAGGAGCAGCTTTGAAGAGAGATCAGAAAGAAAGGGTGGGATTTCTATGGCGGTCAACTTTCAAAATCGAGCTTCCTCTTGCTGATTTTTCCAGGATCACCAACCTTACCTTTCAGGACAAAAATGGTTGTAAAGATAAAGTCTAAAGTAGGCTAAAGGCAGTTTTACAGACAAATTATAAATCAGTTTGAAATCAAAGGGCTCTGATATTAAAAATGGAAATGTTAGAAGCCAGTCTTGTTTATATGAAAGGAGAAAAATCTTTAACTGAGATGGCAGAATCAGCAAAAGTCCTTAATAGATATGAAGTGTTGTTGCCTAGATAAAATATGTTTTCCTGTAGTCTGTGTCAATGACAGACTACTTCAGAATTTTAGTAATATTTATGGGCTATATATTATTGGCATAGCCATTTAAATAATTCCTTTTATCATGTAATTTTTTGTGTTTGGAGCAAATTCATTTTTAAGAGGATTCAGTAAAAGACTTCAGACACAGAAACCATTTGAAACCAAAATATCTTCCATAATGTCACAGTATAGTGCAGTAGTTGTATAGACAACAGTGAAATTTGGAAGAAAAGGCATACCTTTTCAATCTATAGAGGTCAGCTGTGTATATAGAGATATATCCTGGGTTCAACATGTAAGTGTGAACCAGCAATAAATTTCTACACTGACCAATTGCTTCATGAAAACCTAGGATGAAAATTAAGACAGGAAATTGTAAATGGAAATAAAAGCCTTCACAAAAAGGCAGGATAAATTAATACCAGAATCTTAACAGGGTCCAGTCACACCGGTACGTCTACAGAGTTAAACTCCTGCAGCATGGATTGAAATCTCTTGTGATGCAGATGTTCCGTGTTTTTTCTGTTTTAGGTTTTTTTGAGCTTTTTGATGTGCGTCACACACCGCCTGTGTGCGTTGCCCTATAGTAGATCATCGCAGCCTTCTCCCTGCACATGGTCCTGTTTGTTTCACAGATGGAGTAGTCATGTAATATTCTCACTTCCAGATCAAATAATTACACAGAAAACACATCTGTCATCTTGGCCTGAATATTAAAAAACCCTGACTACAAGATGTAAAAAAATAATAATAATACATTCAACTCATTTTAGTTACCTCTGTGGCAGAAGTCAAATGGGCAAAAATTCCTGTAGGTCAACCCGGGTTGACCCACAGGAAGGTAAACACTTTGGGACTCACCTTCTCTGAAAGATGATACATGAACCAGATGAAGCACGCTATCTTAAACAGTCAATAATGTGACACACTGAGTAGGAGACTTTTGCTTCAAAAACAATCTATAAATGTGTAATCCTCAAATATAATATAATACAGCCCCCTCTTTGTCAACACATTTACAGGATGAAAAATATTTGATTTGATTTATTCTTTCAAGCATGTAAAACAGTTGATATGACAACACACATAATTTTACACATAATCCAATATCAATTTGCTTATACCTAGTACATAAAAGCTTATATTCGGGCCTATTTCAGCACTTTTTTTTCCATCCTGACAATGCACAGATAGTGAAGGTAAATGATCAAATGGGGGAAAAAAGATCTATCAGGTGCATTAATTGATTACTTGTACCCGTCCTTAGTGGATGGATATGCATATTACTCGAATATGTATTTATCTGACTGTCTGGTGTGGCTGGGCTAAATACTGCCAAATAACGTCTGTCGCACATGATTATAGTATAAGGTGTTTGAGCGATAGAGTAGAAAATTCAAATAAGAAAATAACGTATAGCCAAGCAGTAAATCTGACTGACTGGTAATATTGATCAAAGGTCAGTATTGTGTGATTGGGGTGGGAAGGAGAAGAGGAGGAATATGCTTCTTATTTATTTACTTCACTTTAATATTTATTAATCTAATCTATATATTTACTATGATGTGCAGTTCTTACCGTATACTTGAATGTGTTTGGTGTATGTAGCACTGTGTATGTGCAATGTCGACATTATGAGAGGTTTTCCTTTAAGCTTGTTCCCTCACACAAACACACATCTCTATCTGAACGCACTGAAAATCTGAGTCATACTGGGAAGAGGATGAAGAGAAGGAGGGTGATGAAGATCACAGGATCGGTTGTGTGCACCGCCAGCCTGGCAAATGTGTTGTTATGTAGCACATGAGGTGGACAATGACGTGATGCACAAAAGGAACTGATCGTGTAGAATGCACAGTCACTACCTACTCTGCCTATCTCAGGGGAAGCTCCGCCCCTCCTGAAAGAGGAAGAGGAGGAGGAAGAAGTTGGGGGACAGTCCTCTGATATTTTTTGTTTGGTTTCTAAAGATATGACTGGTTGGTTGATTGTGTTTTTTAAATTTTTTTATGTTTTTAGTGAGATGGAGTGCTGAGAGTCATAACTTTGTGCCTTCAGTATCTCATGGCCATGCCACACCTACCCAACACACATACACACAGATATTTATGATAGCGATGTCACTGCAACAATCACTAATTTTGGTGCAACTTATGTCTTTACAGAGATGTATGTCAGATGAATTTTGGTGGCCAAAGTCCTCTGATTCCCAACCTCTGGCAAGCCATCAGGCTCAGTGAACACAAACACAAACAAGTTAACTCACATTCAATCACAGCATGTTAGTGCATTCAAGATGCTTAACATATAGTGTCACAATTTTAATTCATGTCAAGATGGTACATACCAAACTTTACGCTCATGCGGTTCACAACAACAGACTCCCCACCCTTGCATAAAGAGTATACAAGCACATGGTATCTCTCTGTTACACTCTACCCTTGTAAGTCATCCAAAAACAACTGGCAAACACAAAATACTGTGCTGCCATATTCTTACCACTATTGTTCATGCCCCAGGTGTGCCCTGTCATATCTCCATTTATTACCCCACATTGAGTAGATGGTTCCAAACTGTGTATGATTGATACATACCTCTGCATGGAAGCGCATTAACGCGAGTGGGTACAGAAACCATGTGACTGCAGCATCCACATTTGTCAGACCCTGTATTATAAGGAAGTAGCTGTGATGCAGGCATACATAGGGCCAGAGGCCAAAGGGGTTAAGCCCTGTATCAGCCAATGGCACTGAAGCTCCACTGGACATGTTAACTTGCTTTGATGTAACATTCACATTTGCTGAGCCTAAACACAAAAGAAAGAATCTGATGCATTAAATTGTAAATCATTAACAATACTATAAAAGTATATGTATTATCAGGGCTTCACTGCAGAGTCTGAAATAATTATTTTAATTATCAAATACTTAAGACTAAATGATTGTTCTGTCTGTAAAATGACAAAAAACTGACCTAGCCAAGTGGCTAATGCACCAACCACAGATTGTAGCCTTAAACTGATTAGCACTGGCATCTCCAATGTTTTGTCTGTGTGTTGTGGTGAGGGAAGGTTATATAACATGGCTGCACAATGTACAGACACATAGCCAAATGTCGCCTCAGGGCAAACTGGTGGCGCCTGCTGACGACAGGGCTAAACTAACACTAGCCGATTGAGTGCTAGTGTCCAGCCGCTAGCTGCTGCACTGACATTTGTTTTCTCTACAGTAAAGCTAACACTAGCCTACTGCTAAGTGACTGCTAGTAGCACATTTGCAAGTCTTTAACTGCTAGCTAGTCACTGAGCTCCTCACAGAGGTGCTTACATAACTCATTAGCATTAATGTGGTTTTTTAAAGCAATGTTTTTCATATTGGTACCTCAGATTGCTCAGTTATCATTATGATTATTATTGTTGTCATCGTTGTGACTTACACCCAGGGCATTTGGTTGAATCTACCAAAGTGCATTCCTTTACAAAGCTAGCTGAGAGCTAGCTGCTCAAACAGTACAGCAGAAAGCAAAAAGTAAGTGAAGAGAGGGGTAGTCAGAGGAGAAGCAGCAGCTGCCTTTCAGACAATAATGAGGGAGGGAGAATGTTATGTTTTGTTTTTGTTTTTTGAAAAAGTAAACATTGACAGGTTGGTGTCACACAGAAAAAAGTCAGTGTAACTAATCTCTTGGTATCCTGAAAAAACTTAGAAGAATGCATCTGGACATAGTTTTAGGTAGAAGCTGTTTTACCTCTCATCCAAGAGGCCTGGGTGAAACGTCTTCTACCTAAAACTTGATCCAGATGCCTTCTTCTAAGTTTTTTCAGCATACTATGACCTGGATGACTGAGAATTTGCACAGACATAATCTCTTGGTAGCATTCAGAAAAATGTGTGCAAGCAGCTGTAGCCTATCTAGACTGCTAGCTTGTTTCCCTGCTAGCCAGTTAGCCTACATTCATCTTCTGTAGGAAGGTCTGTGCAGCCAGAGGTTAGACGCTGTTAGCGTTAAGCTACGCTGTATTTCTGTGATGTTTGCCAGCTGGGTTTTATTGTGAATGTTATCTGTAAATAATGTGGGAAAATGTTTGAATAATTAAAACTTTTGGGTTGAATGTGCTGCTGTGCCACACTGCGGCCAGTTTTACAATGTACTGTATCTGCTGTACAGAATAGAAGTTGACACTTTTCTAGTAAGCCTTTGTTAAATTTTATTGTGGTGGAAAATTTATTATTAATAAAACAGTTTTATTGTTATTTCAGTGTGTCAGTGTGTAAAATAAATGTGCAACATATAAAGTACATGATAGTATGATGTCACTTCCCATATACTGACCAACCATGGTACAATGTGTTTTTCTCAGATTTATGACCTATATATGGAATTAGTAAAAGCACATTTTTAAGCAATAGCAATGTGACATTGTTAGTTGTTAGGCAATTGATTATCCACACAGTGGTCAAACACTGTAGTCAAGTCAAGTACAAGCCTGACTGAAACAGCATTTCAAAATAACAGCCCATTCCAGACCACACAAGGAGGTGGAGGACAGTCTCAGATAGCAATACATCCCTCAAACAGAGATTTTCAAAATTAAGCTCTTTGGCTTTTAGGATGCTGGAGGATTAGACCAGGGTCACCATGACAACGCAAAAGCACTAATAAATGCAGTGTTGTCAAGGAGGAGGATGTGACACAGGCACTGATTAGATTAGCGTACACAACAGAAGGTGCTGCATCCAACACTAATAAACACACAGGATGTAAAGGATGTAAAAATAACTTTTTTTTTTTTTTACATTGAACAGTCTCTCGACCAGTGAGTGCCATAAGTTGATGAGCGGGACTGACGTTAACACCACCTGTTTGGTTCAAACTGAAATATCATAGAATTATGTTCAGATGTTCATGATTTCCACAGGATGAATAGAAGCAGTAAGATCCATAAGTAAAAGCTCCACACTGTATCAGACTACATTTACAGGAGAATACATGCCAAGTATTAAAAGTACTCAATTCAGAGAAATAGCCCCTGTGAGTGTATGTATTATAACAATATACTAAAGACAAACTATGCTCCTATGTAGTATAATGGTGGATTATTATTACTCATGCATTCATGCTCTTGTTGACTAAAGTGGAGCTAATATTAGCTATTTTAACCAGGGCTGCAACTTAGAGCTGCGCGATTAATCGATGTTATCGATTAATTCGAATGTATGTTTTATGTCGATGTTTAAAAGCGCTAAAGATACTGTGCCCATATACACAATCGAAAAGCCTGGATTCATTAATATGCTGAAAGTAATTGAGCCCCGATATGAACTACCAAGCCGAAAGTACTTCTCAGAAGTTGCCCTCCCCACATTATACAATACTACACGCAAAAAGATAGATAGAACAGCAGTTGGAAAATGTGTCGTTTTACTCCACCACGACAGACCTTTGGTCCGGTCGAGCAATGCAGCCATATTTGAGTTTGACGGCACATTGTATTACAGACGACTGGATACTGCAAAGTTTCTGCCTCCAGACAATCGCCCACGGTCTGAAAGATGCCTTGGCTTCGTGGAAACTTGGGGAAGACAGGCATGTCTGCATGACAACAGACAGTGGAACCAACATGAGTAAAGAAGCTCTGAAACTAAACGAGTGGACCAACCTCCAGTGTTTTGGACACAACCTGCATAACGCCGTCGGTGAGTTTCTAAATGGCAATGCTCAATTTCATAATCAATCATAATGAATCCATAATCAACATTAGTAATTAATTAAAAAAAAACAATTATAATGAAAAAATTAACTTTTTATAGCTGTATATATTTTTTGTCATAATCAAATACAGTCACATGAATTCCACAGATGTAAACATAGCACACACAAATGTGTGAATATAGTCCATGTGAAGCACTGATTTCTTTTTCTTTATTCATACAGAATGGTGTGAAGGATCCACGCATTGAACGTTGGGGTTTGCAAGAAGGTTGTTGGTGCTTTTTCCTTTAGTTGGAAAAAAAGAAGAGATTTGGCCGAAGTA